ACAGAGAATCAGAAGAGAAAGCGTCAGGAACAACATGCACACGGCGGTGCGTGCATGCTCCTGTTGGACTCTTCTTCTGTGGAGCCAAACAAAAAGCAGAGCAGGCTCCTGGCAGAGAATCTCAGCAGACAGTCATTTTGCTCTGCGCCCAAATTATGATTAATGGGAAAGAAAGCACCTTGATCTGGATTTATTTTGGTGASCTCTGGCCTTCGTGGACACCGAGGCCCAACTTTGAGCATCACGACACTATGCAGGTAAAACAAGCAATGATAAAACCTCACAAATACGCATTATTTCCTGTTTGGTGCACATCCACACTGACATGATTTATTAAATTCATTTCATGTATCTCATTTAAGGATTTCCTAAAACTGTTTTCAGAAGGAGAGCTTTTTTTCTCTTCTGGCTAAGGAGAGAAAAGGAACCAAATGAAGGAAAAAGGAAAAATCTCACAGATAAAAGTGTTAGAGACACTGGACTGGGTGGGGGGGGGGGGATAAAGGAGGTGAAAGCGAAAGAGAGAAGTCAGGAAAATAGAGTGAGAAAGAGCCGAGCGAGGAAGCTTGATCAATTGTTCATTTTACAAAGTCACTGAGACGTGTCAGCAGTGTCAATAAGTGAATTAATTTGTCTGCAAGTCTGCGGAGCATGACACCATCACTCTGTGCTCCCCGTAGACAAGCGGGACCTCTAACCCTCTCCTCTGCTCTCAGAAAGCAATTTCAAACACAGATCGAGCGCAAATATTACAAACGGATCTGTTGACGGGAATATTTTCACGCAATTACACCAGCTGCTGAACTTCAAATATGTAAGTCCTTTTTTTTGTTTGTTTGTTTTTATATTAAAGTTAGGGAAAGTCCCAAAAAAATGTAAAAATGTATTACATTTTACAAGAAAACAAGATATTTATGGCATCAGTTTTGAATTTGTGCATTAAAGTAACAAAATCCATGTTGTGGGTGAAACAAACCAAAATTAAGGCACACAAACACACACACACACACACACACACACACACACACACACACACACACACATTTTTGTTTTTGTTTCTTCATGAGCTGGGCTCCTTTTTTATTTCATTTTTGGAGGTTTCCCGTGGCTGCCCTTGGCCTCCATGCCTCCAACCCACCCAGAGCGACTCGACGGGAGCTTTTCATAATCCCCCACAAACACAACTCCCACTGCCACTCGCGGTTACTCAGCACATCTGCCAGCTGCCAAAGGGATGGGAGCGGGCGGGGAGAGAGACGCACCGTCTCTAGAAGAGACAAACACGCACGGAGTGGAGGCAGCAGATTGCATCCAAGGTGATAGATGGAGCACCGTGGGAAGGAACTGTGCCTGTTCACTTACAATCATTACGATCACTTATGGAGATCTGTCATGGTCAAAGTGAGCCGGAGCTGTGGGGGAAATCACCTTGAGGCATGGGAAGTGAAAAGGTGTTATTTTCCCTTTTTTGTTTTTTTTTGCACAAAGGGGAAACTACAACTTTAAAAGTTTGCTTTGATTCCTAAAAACACGATGTTTACACGGGTAATGACGGCCCTGCATCGCTGCACAACTGATCCTTTGAACACACTTGATTCTTATATGCTTTAAGACTTTAGAGCAGGAGCTTTGAACGTCTTCTGTTGAGTCTGTCACCATGTTGAAGAAGTGGAAATGTGAGCGACTTCGGACAGAGTCAGAACTAGGGGGCCAGGATGGAAGTGGGACATAGAGACTTTGGAGCAATGAGTGAGTAGCCATGTCTCCATCTAAATGTAACGTGAATTTTGAGCAAATCTTCAAAACGATGCAGAAAAATAAAAATGAAAATTAGATGTGCTTCCATCTATTGGTTTGGAATAAATCAACCAGGCTACGGGCAATGTTTTTCTCACACAAAGTGTAATTTTGTAAGATGTTGACATTACCCATGGTTGTAATAAACAGGACGTAGAGGCACAAATTAGCAGGGACCACTCATCTCAGGACAATGGAGAGAAGTTGTAAAAGACCAGTTTGTAGATAGAAATGATCACAAATGCGCATGTGCAATCTGGGCTGACCTCTCACAGTTAACGTGAAAAAGCAGAGGTTGCTATGAAAACACTGTAATTGCACAAATCCAACAGGTAAATTTATGCCGGTACACAGACTTGATGTATTTGCTCTAATGGATTTGTGTTTAACTTTCCCTTATCGTAGATGAGATTTTTCATAAATATCTAAGCTATAAATGTGCTTTGTGTGCTTAATTTGCACAATTCTAATAGCGTTTTTCATGGCAACCTCAGCTTTTACCCAGATGACCTGTGATCTGGAAGAGCTAGGCTTTTCTATGCGCATGTGTACAAAAAAAACTATGAAGTGGTCTATTCTGCTGTCACATCAGCTTGTGCTGGTGATGCTCTCCGAAGACGTACAGACAGAAATTAAGGGAATATCCTGGAAGATGTTGAAGGCAGAAGCAGCTGATCAAATGTGTTTCCATCTACCCTTCTGCACATGAACTCTTTTTCAGTAAATCCAAAAACCACCTCAAGTGAATGAATAAAACTTTTTTTTTGCTTTTATCGCTACACTTCAAAAGGCGCATAAAAACCATTGATGGAAACACAGCTGAAGCTGTTGTGGACCTGCTGGAACCTGGTCTGAAGCAACAACTCGTGAAGAGGGAAAAAGCTTTAACAATTTGCAGATAGAAACCTTTGATTCTTGTGCTTTCAGCCTGTGATGATGCGAGTGAACAAGTGTACGGTGTACACACACACAGAGAACCCCATCCTGTTTTCTGTTAAAGCTGATAAAAAGAAAAAAAAATCCTGAACTCAGCAGATTTGCTCCGAACAACCGCACACAGTCAACCCCGTATCATATGTTTTAGTCTTTCTGGCCACAGGTCGTGACCTCTGTCCACTTGTGGTTTTGCTCTGTGACAAGAAACCTGCACACTGCGCTCACGCTCATTGATCTTCTCTCTCTCCCTCCTCCATTAGAGCCATGGATCTCTCTGCTCACGAAGACGCAGAGGACCCTTCTTGTTTTTTGCTTCCTTTTTTATTCTCTGAGTGATACTGTCGGCCGCTGCTGCATGACACCAAGCCGTGCTCTCTGACTCAACACACCCAGAAGCTGATGGGCATGAAAAGCTGTTCGGGACATTGTCACTTCCAAATGAGAGGCTTTTGTTCCGTCTCTCAGCTACCATGACATCAAATAATGACACCTTCTTTCTTTTCTGATCTTTTTTTTTGTTGCCTTTTTTCCTCCCTTAGTGTAGGTGATCTCCAATCTGTCTGTCACCCCACGGCTAATACTTAATTATCTGATATCACCTACCAGGTGCCTGTCACTCACACATAACACCATCCAAACACGTTTTCTGTCAGATTCCATTGTGGTGTGTGCTCACCATTAGTTACACATCATTTTAATCTGTTTCCACCTCCATCTCATTGCTCACAAAAAATAAATAAATAAAAATAAATCTGCCTCTCTGGCTCATTTCTCTCGCCTGGCTTGCTCTCCTCGCAGTCGCCTCTCTGCTTGGCGCATCCTCATGCACAGTCACAAATGCACACAATCCAACCCCCCAACACACACACACACACACACACACACACACACACACACGACCAATCACCATGAGCAGCCCTCTGTGAGGCAGGAGGATGTCGGTGGCACGGAAAGCCGAATTGGCAGCCGGGGGTATACGGTCGCTGCTGCTTATAGGAGCTTGCTGGGAGTCAGATGAGAGGAGTGATTGTGTGAATAAATGTGTGTATATACATATATGCAGGTGTGTGTGTGTGTGAGTCAGTCGTGGGTGACAGGGCGACAGGATGGAGAGACAGTGAGTGAGAGGGAGAGTAATCTCCCCTGGATTAAAAGTGCTGCTCCTGTGTTAATGTGGCTGTCAATGAGAATTAAGTAAGTCCCCCACTCCCACACACACACACACACACACACACACACACACACACACACAC